CCCCAAAACCCCAAAACCCCAAAACCCCAAAACCCCAGATCAGCTTTAGGCAGTTGAAAGGGTATTCAAATTTAATTTTGCAGTTTGTGACGACCCACTTCACTACTACGAAAACGAAAGCTTTTCTAAAAGGCTGAAATAGCCACTTGAGCTTTAAAGAAGCCCCTGATTAGAGAATTAGAGTCGTATATTGGGCACTCAGTGAATTTATTTTTGAAGAAAGTTAATAAAGATGGTCCCTGATAGACCTTAAGTTAGATAGCCACATTTATTGAGGCCAAACTGTGGGGGTCAGCAGGAGGAGTGTGAGGTGTCTGACCTCCAGAAGGCCCAAAAGGAGTAGGAGGGTCATGGTTAGCGGTATTAGGTACTCTTCTGTAATCTTCAACAGCGTCCTCAAAACTAAGCCTGCTGATACTAGCATTAAACACCCTTCTGTTAATTGTGTTTCAGTGAGGGCATCTGAAAGGATGTGTAGGATCCGTGGTGAGGTACCACTCATATAATCATTTCCTATGAAAGCTATGGGTTCACTCATTGGTTATTCACACCTCTGAGTATTTCTTATATTTTTCCAGTCAAATAATTCACGATTCTTCATTGAACTTAATTTCAAGTTGATGATACTGACAGTGTTTCATCTCATCCAGGATTTTCTTTACTCTAAATTTTTGTTTGGATCTGTGGGTTAGCATCTCGTCATGTCTCATTTGCATTCTTCTTCTCTGTTTTCTCTTCCTGCATTGGCGCCTTATCAGATAAAACAACATGATCAGGAAGATTACTAAAAGAAATGCTCCAAGGAAAATGAGGGCATACATGCTGTATATAAACGACTCGCTTCCTGTAATGAATTTATTCTGTCCGTTGCCTATAAAAATATTAATACTTAGAAATTAAGGATATCGTCTTTCTAGATTATTCGGTAGATATAGAGTTCTTGAGGTTTGTCAAAATTTAAGTCCAGATGTTGCATCCGAATGTGAGTAGAGTCTATCTGAGGTAGTATCCAAGCAGTATAAAGCTATTCAAATTGATCAGGCCTAACGTTAATCACAACCTTCATTTCTCTTAAATAATTTCGAGGATAACTCTCTATCAAAGTTTGGAAAATTTAAAATTGATGAACTTTTTAAGATTTTTAAGTGAATACGTATCGTCACAGAAATTCTTCATTTTCCGGACCAGCAGAAGGACTAAAAATTGCTAATTTGATTATGACTTACTTGATATAGAATCTGAAGCACTGTTCTCAACTGAATCAGCATTCTGAAGGCTTCTTTTTGGAGTATTTGCAGTAGAATATGCTTCTTCGTTATCTTTTATTTTAGCAGAGAAAATAATTTGAGATTCTTGAACCATTTGAGAGTATTGAAGAGGTGTAACTGGAAGGATAACACCAAGATCCCTGATTGTGGCCAGTAGCTCCATATATTGTTTGGGAGTCACTTCACCGGTAATTCATCAATTTTTCAATCGGGGAATATCTAATCGTTCTCCTTCTATAACTCAGTCAGTGTTTCAACATCAAGAATTAAAAATAAAGTGTTAAGAAATATTTTGCCTTAATTTTCCCTGAAAATGTAGAAGAAGACCTTAAAATAAGATTGAGAATAACTGTTAATGCAGCTTTTTAAAATTATTTGGATTCATGGTGATTCTAACTTTTTCAGCTATTTTTCAGAAAAGTAGGATATTTTTCAACCTTAATATGAGGAGCAAGGTTTAAAAAGTCTCCCTTATGTTATTAATCATTTCAGAAGAGAAAGTTTAGATTATTTGAAATTAATCAGTCAAGCTATTAAGGTATCCCCTGCAATCTAACTTAAAATCTAATTACTATATCCCCAGAATCAATTTTAATGACGTTTTAATAAAATCCCATCAAAAATCCACTCCTATTCCCAAAAATTCCCTAAAATCCTCAAAAAATCTCAAATTCCCTCTATTCCCCCTATAAACCCCCTCCCCCTCCCACCCCAGCCCAAAATCCTCATCCCCTTCCCCCCTTCCCCCCTTCCACCCCTTAAATCCCTCCAAAACTCACCTAATTTCTTCCCACTCCCCTCTGTTATTCCGGTACATCTAACAGGCGGCTCTCCAGCAAGTACCATTTCTGAGCTGTTATTAGAGTTGGTAAAGGTTGATGGATGGTGGAGAGGAGTAAGTTCAGGATGACAGATAACGAGCTTGATTTGCGAGTTCTGGTCAGGAGAAATAGATATTCATTTGAGAATGAGTAAGCTGATAATGGCACACAAGATGAGCGTGGTTATTGGACTATATTGTAAGAGTTATTTAGTCTTAGATTGCTTAAAATGCAATAACATGGATGAACCACAGTTGAACATTATATCTCTCAGATTCCTCCATCCAATTAAATTAGCTACAAATACTTCCCCAACCCCCTCTAAACCCTCTTATACTTCCTCTCTTACCTTAAAAATCTCACACTGACACCTACATCCACCATTATTCCCACTCTTCCCCTTCCCACCAGCCAGCACCCAAAACCCCCATTCAAAGTGCTCAAAACTGGTTTAACCCAAAACGCCTAAAAGCGTACCTGGCTGGCTGCCTTTCTGGCCTAGCAGTTTGTTCTTCTTAAAGAGTTTCATGATTGTTGATTTATTATTTATAGACTGTAATTTAAACCTGGGGTTTTGGGGTTTTGGGGTTTTGGGGTTTTGGGGTTTTGGGG